AAAGCATAAGCCCAGCCCGGACGTCCAGGAAATTTTGCAGTGCCGTGCCGGGGGCCTGATGATCAAAAAGGCTCCCGCAGAAGCCTGTGACCTGGCCGCATAATCCAGGAAGTATGAAGCCGAAACCAGGTTATCATACCGGCTGGACACAATATCGACGAGTGAAGTAAACACTGCAAGTCCAGACAGGGCAGCCTGAAAGCATAATCCCAGCCCGGACGTCCAGGAAATTTTGCAGTGCCGTGCCGGGGGCCTGATGATCAAAAAGGCTCCCGCAGAAGCCTGTGACCTGGCCGCATGATCCAGGAAGTATGAAGCCGAAACCAGGTTATCATACCGGCTGGACACCATATCGACGAGTGAAGTAAACACTTCACTCACTTCACTTCACACACAAAAAAATATATATATATTTTTTTTAGAAATGGATCGTACTCACCCACCATGGTTTCCGCCGGAGCCCCGTTCAAGAAGCGACCCGAAGAAGCCTCTAGTCCGGACCATCAGTAAGGTGGTCACTATGAAGCCATAGAACCAACCAAAACATCATAGGTCCAGCATAGGAGACTGTAATGCAGGAAGTTCCCACCTAACCTCGGACAGGTGGAGAGATGGTGGTTACAGGGGAATTAGGAAGGGGAAGATAAGGGCAGATGTAAAACCCACGAAGGAAATGAGTAGATACTCAAGTATCACTCTGATCCAGACGAAAGCGCTGACGCCTTGTCTGGATCACATACCTAAGGTCTTGCCTACCTCCCTTTGACCCACGATTCCTCCTACCCCTACCCGCAGTCATCGAGACGACCTCGCGACGTCACTTTCTTGACCTGCTTCCATAACTTCCAAAAGCTCATCATACGCAGGGCAGGAGGATTGGGAAGGCTCAGCCTCAGCTTATTCACCCTCCTCAGACATTTCCTGCTCTTCCTGGCCTGAACCCAGCAGAGCACTGGCCCCTGGATCAGATGATGTCAATGAAATAACATCATCCTCCAGCGACTCACTCTCGTCCACAGCCGACGAGTGCGAGGGGGAAAACCCCTCTTTAAACTCATCGGCCAGATCCGCCTGCGATCCCCACGAGCTCATTCTCCTCCGTGCCTCAGCAGCGGCGGGTCCTGAATCGCGGGAAGCAGATGGCTGCCCCTCTTTCCTCGAAAAGAGAGACAAACGAGAGCGGAGCTTTTTAATTGGAAAACGCTCGCAGTGTACGCCGATTGCCCCCTTGAGGACATCGCGTGCGTGCTCTTCGCCCAAACAAACAACTCATAGATTGTGTGTGTCATCAGGTGTCAAATAACGACGACACGGATGCACACATCCTTTAAACGCTTTGCTAGTGCTCGCCATAATGATATGAATAGAGATGGCTCTTACCACGGAAATGCACGCTTCAAACAAAACAGTGAAGACGAAGAAGAGGATGATGTGTTCTCCCGGCGCCTATTTATACTATAGTCGCACCGCTAGTGACATCATGGCTGTCGCCGGCCAACGTGTTGTTGGTGTTTTTTCAATGTATGCTTCAGACACGGGTCACGACGAGATGTTCCCCCATAGCAACCCCTAGAGGACGCAGTTCCAAGTTCCCTTGTAAGGGAACTGCATTTTTTTTAGTATTTGAGACTTAAAAGGTTTTGTAAGCTGGAAAATATGCAGTTGCATTTTTTACAGTGTGGAAGAACCATTTTTGGTTCCCCAAAGAACTTTTAAACTTTAAAAAAAAATCTTAGCGTGAAGAATATTTAAATAATATGAAGAACCGTTAAAGAACCTTTTGTGGAATGGAAATATTCTTCATGGAACCATCATAAGAATCTTTATTTTTAAGAGTGTAATGATATACATTTCAAACAGACCTATGTTGTTTTCCTGTGACCTCATTGCTTAGCATGTTTAATTCAGCAAGTAGCATCGAGCTGAGTTGTCATCTCTGAAAAAAAGTGTCATTTTGCATTTTTAATCCCATTGTTTAAAAATGTCATCATTTTGAAAATTTGATGTTAAAAATCACAGCACATATAGTCTCTAGTTTATTCCTTACACTAGAAATGAAAATTCAAGTTGAGTGCAATTACATTATAGTAGCATTCTTTATCTCATTATCTTTATGTAGTATCCCGTGGTTGCATATTTTGGCAAATAAAATAGAAATAAAACAAACAAGCAAGCAAAAAACAAATAAATAGCATACTGTGCACAGTGATCTCTCTGGGCTGAGTTACTGTTTAGTTCGGAATGGAGATGGAAATTGTAATGTAATATTAAACAGTTTTATTTTTGTAAAATAAAGGCAATTGCAGAGTAGCTATTTTGATCATTTTTTATTTGTTTACTGCACTCATTCTATTTCATTTAAGGCAGGGGTGTCCAAACCGGTTCCTGGAGGACCACTATCCTGCAGAGTTTAGTCCAACTCTAATTAAACACACCCGAACCAAAGTAATCAAGGTCTTCAGATAATAAAAGAGTCTAAAGCTCTGATTATATGGGTGTTTCATGCTAATAGTAACCCTGTGATACTACAGCATGAGACCAAGCAGTGTCAAGACAACCAAATAATCCTGATGTTTTAGAAAAAACACAATGCAGTGTTTAGTTAGTTTCATTTCACAAGCGATATAGTGCTTATTTAGTTCTTACAACTTGAATGGAAAATACATTTTATTAACCCTCTTAGCGCCAAAGTCGCAAAATTGCGGCAAGACGTCATACTTAATCAAATAGGCTGTAGATCTTAATATGGTGTAATATCTAATTTGTATTCCCTACCACTAGATGGCAGACATGTAGTACTTCGAGTCTAGACCAAAATTACGTCACCTTCCTATTCATAGGTTTCATGTGACGTCACACAGTGGTGCGGCCGCCATTTGTAGGACCGAACTGCAACATGCCGTCTATCTACTGTGCTGTGGGTTGTGATAACAGCAAATCGCAAAGCAAAGGATTAACGTTTTACAACATCCCCAAAAACACTGAGCGTCGTCAGAAATGGATTGCTGCTATCAAGAGGGATCACTGGACTCCTACAGAACACTCCAGACTGTGCAGTGAGCACTTTATTTTGGGTAAGTTAAGTAAGGTATCGCTAAGTTACGTTAAGTGTTAGCAAACGTTAGCTGTCTTTACATTAGCGTTTGCTGACAAATTAAATTATGTAAAGTGTCGCTGACTAGTTTCCAGACAAAATAGGTCATCTTTGTCGCTGGCTAAGGCTAGTTAAGGTATGTCCACTGTTTGAGTAACTAATTATCAAGTAGGTACCGTTAATTGTCTCATTCTATCCCTGCAGGCAAGAAAAGTGATAATCCTTTGAACCCTGATTATGTGCCAAGTCTCTTTGCCTACCTGTCACCTGAGCAACGCCAAAGAAAAATCAATTACTACAAGAAATTTGAGCAAACACAAGCTGTCAAAAGGAAGAGATATTGTACCGGTGATGTGTCAATGTCACCCCGTGATTACTGTACTCACATGGAGACTGACTACAGTGACAACTTTCCTGAGGATATCGGGCAGAGTGGGGAACACAGCTACTGTAAAGATCCTATCCATACTGAGAGCAGTGTTGTATGCCCCAATGAAGCCTGCCAAGCAACTGTTAAGAAACTGACAGAAGAGTGTACCAGATTGAGGGCAGAGGTCTATCAGCTTCGGGACAGGGTAAGCAAGTTATCTTTCCAGCAGGAGATGTTCAAGGACAATGATGAGATGGTCCTGGACTTAACTGGACTTCCATCCTATGCCAAGATGATGGTCGTGTTCACCTTCTTGTCAGGATTCCTAAAGGAGGGACCTGGACTGACTCCTTTTCAGTGCTTTTTAATGACTCTAATGTGAATGAGATTGGATTTACCTCTCCACATCTTGACATATATATTTCATGTGTCAAAGCCTACTGCGAGTCGAATTTTTAATAGTACATTAAATGTCATGTACAGTAGGTTGTCTTCATTCATAGTGTGGCCCAGTAAGGAGCAGATTCAAATCAGTTTACCCATGTGTTTCAAAAACAGTAGTTACAGAACTTCCATAATAGATTGTTTTGAAATTTTCATTGAGAAGCCTACACTGCAAAAACAGATGTGTCAAAAACAACACACATGGTTGTGTTGACAGCATTCTGACACATGTTGTGTAGGATTTTAACACACAATGTCTAATCCTCTGAATTAAACTTATGAAATTGAGATTTAGAACATTTTGTTGTGCCTCTGTGCATGCATTGTTCTCTACCCTGAACATTTTTGACAAATTAAATTGCTAACATTTTTACATCTGTCTGTTTTATTTCAATTTTGTAGAATTACAAATTGATGGCAATGCTTATTATTTTTGTCATATTAACACATTAATTAGCAGTTTCTGATAATTTTCAGTTACACATAATGTGTTTAAATGACACGTTGTGTGTTAAATTACATTACACAGTAGATGTGTGATCCATCTTAACACACAAACTGTTAAATTTGACACAACATGTGTTGTCCCTGAGCACACTCACCACATGTGTTAAAATTCTGCACAACATGTGTCATTTTTAACAAATCTCTTTTTGCAGTGTAAGAACATAAGCAAGAGCTCAAACATATTCACAGTATAAGCATCATAATACAGTGAAGTACTTGATATCAATAACTCCACAGGGAGTCATATCATTTGTGTCTACTGGTTGGGGGGGGGAGGCGAACAAGTTATAAGCACTTGACCGAAAACTGCGGCTACCTGGAAAATCTGTCACCTGGTGATGTGGTCTTGGCAGATCGAGGGTTTACCATAGGAGATGCTGTGGGCTTGTACAGTGCTCATCTCAAAATACCTGCCTTCACTAAAGGGAAACAGCAACTACACCCAAGTGAACTTGAAACAACGAGGGGACTAGCAGCTGTCCGGATCCATGTGGAACGTGTCATTGGTCTCGTGAGGAACAAGTACACAATCTTACAAAGCACAATACCCATCTCTCTTTGCCAGACTACAACTCCAGGAGAGCTTACATCTCTTGACAAGATGGTCAGAGTCTGCTGTGCTCTTTGTAACATTTGCCCATCTGTTGTGCCCTTAGAATAGAGACTGTTTAAGTAGAATGGAGATTATTTAATTGTGTCCCCAGTGTAACACATAACAGTATGAACTGTTGTTTGTTCTCATACAAGTCTATTTAAGTCTGTTTTTATTTGCAATAAAAAAACAGGTGGCAGTAAAATACATTTCTCTTATTCTGCTCACTGGTAACAATTATTTTACATAAGTAATTCATAAAAATTAAATGTAAAAACTATGTGTTATGTTAAAACTGTGCATTTCAATTGTGTGCAAATATTTATTTGTACTGAATGTTACGAGTTATAAGAAAACAAGGCATTTTAAAGTACATTATAAACAAACATTTAATGAAGATATGTTATAACTTCATTAAAGGGTTAGTTCACAAAAACATTTAAATTCTGTCATTAATTACTCACCCTCATGTCGTTCCAAACCTGTAGGACCTTCGTTCATCTTCGGAACACAAATTAAGATATGAGGGTGAGTAGTTGATGACGGAATTTTCATTTTTGAGTGAACTAACCTTTTAAGTCATAAAAGAGATAAAAAAATTTTTTTTTTTTATATTTCATTAAAAGTAAAATATGTTATTGTGTAATGCATAACTTCCATGGAGGTTATGTTGAAAGGACAGTGAAGTCTAAGGGTTGAAAATTATTAGGCAATACTACACTTTTCTTCTGCACTCCACACATTTCCATGTCTTCGGTACCCTGCTCAATTTAAGGCAAGACTTGTGAAAGTGCTTACGTCTACACTGTCCAGATGTGCAGGTGATGTCATCTGTGTCACAAGGTTTACCACAGTAGCATCCTATTTCAGGTGGCTGTTCAGTGATTGCGGTGTCTGTGGGAGTATGGCGTGGTGCTGTATACCATTTCCCCAACAGCTCTGGTAGTACTCCGGTCTTGATGAATTCAACTACTTTGAGGTAGGCATTGTGGAAGAAAACAGGTTCATACTTGATCCGCTGGATGAAAAACTCCTGTGGTGTCCATACCATAAAATCACAGT